AGAATTGTTGTATACCAGCTTGTATTTTCTCGTTTTTGTATATCTTCAACGTCTTGGATAATAGAGTATTCCATAACTCTGTGTATTATTTCTTTACTATACTGCTCCATATCATACGTATGATCCATAAACAGTTTAATAGAAAATCCATATTTATTTACTATCTTCGATAACTGAATTATCCAACTTCGTCTTAAGTCCGTTTCCCTTGATTTGTGATATAGTAAGAACAGCAATTTTGTTGTTATATCTTCAGCCTTAATAATTTTGAGTAAAAATCTTAAGTATCTTTTTATTAGTATAGTATTTAATCTGAATCTATTTGTTTCTAATCTTAAAGCGCTACCCGGGATATTAAATTCTAGCTAGAATATCTTATGTATAAATATATTCTGTATTTTTTCAGTCATTAAATTTTTCCATGCTGCAAACTGGGGCAGCATATCCCATTGAGTTCATCACAATCGAATTAAAAAGTTGAAAATGTATACGCAAGTTCTTTATTTTTGCCTTACAGAATAGACCAATTAAATTATTTATTGCAATTCTTGCTTTGTTCAATTCTTGCTTTATTTATTGCAATTCTTTGCTATAGTGTTTTTCAAACGAGAGATTAGGTGTGAATGTTACTCCCAAAAATTAATTTCCTTCACTATCTTCACTTCTTCTTTATTAATAAAAAAAGACATGTGCTTTTTGGGTACATTACTTCCATTTCTAAATATTATAATTGTTGATTTTTCTGAATTTATTTTAACTCTTAACTTTTCTAAATACTCACAAATTTGTTGGAGCGCAGCTGCTGTAGGAGCTATCAGCACAATGTCATCTGCATATGATATCATATGTATAATCTGATTTTCAATTTGAAACCCATCTTCATCTCTTTTAAAGCAATCATTTAGATCAAATAGGTAGAAATTGAAAAGATATGGGGATAACAGATCACCTTGTAGTAGACTCTGTAGGTAATAAATGGTGTCCAGATATTTGTATCTTGTTTAATGATTGTCTTATATTTTCCAAACAGCAACCCTATCATATTTATCAAAAGTTCTTTTGCCTCACATCTCTTCATTTTACTCTGTAGGTCAGTAATGCTAATCATATCATATGCTTTTTCAAGATCCAAAAATAGAGCAAACACTTTCTGTCTTTTTTTAAGCAGCTGAATTTAAATTAATGACAGCAACACAAAGAGGGCTGTCTGAGTACCACCCCCTTCTACAAATGCAAATTGCGTGTTATTTCTATAATTATTCGTTGCTGTCCAGTAATTAAATTTATTGGCTAATATTGTAGTAAATACTTTCCGTAGGCAAGACAGCAGGGCTATTGGTCTGTAATTGGTTGGTTCCTGGTTTTTCCCTTGTTTAAATATCATAGTAAAAAGAATTTTGTTCCATTTGGCCAGTATGATACTATTACTATAAAATTGATTAAATTGTCTAGTTAAATATCGAATGATTTCTATTGGTAGTATTTTGATGAGTGAATTAGGTATTGTGTCCGATCCCGGTGTTGATTTGTCTTTAAGTTTTTTGATACAGTCCTGTAGTTCTTCCATCTTAATTATCTCGTCCTGCTGAATTTCTGGTCTTGTCTTGGTTCCCATATATTTTTTACAAACATTTTTCTGATAATTCTCTGAGAATTTATTGTAGTACTTAAGCCAAACATTATATCCTACTTTGGTCTGTGTATTCCACCATGACTTTCTTTTACGAAAACTATTAATTATTTTCCAGAAGGCTCTTGAATCTTTAGCTTCTGATAATTTCTTGCTGATTTTTGAAAAGAATAATTTTTTCTTGGCTTTGATTAAATTATTATATATCTTTTTATACTTTAAATAATTCATTAGTGCTTTACCGGTATTTGTTCTTCTAAAGATTTGTAAACTCTTTTGTTTTTTAATTTTGTAGTCATAACATGTGCTATTATACCATTCACATTTAAATATTTTTCTATTTTGTTGTGTACAATTCTTATACCTATATTCCTCTAGTTTAGTTATTATATTCAGATAATTTTCTATTGGATCATTTTCTTTTTCCAAGGTTAACATCTCCCCAATCATATCATCAAATTCATTCAACAATTTTCGTTTATTATATGACGGTCTTAATTCCAGATTAATAGAATAATTCTGTTCACAATTGTATGTCTTATTACTTATTTTTTGATATGTTATTAACTCCAACTGAATTGGAAAATGATCTGCAAGGTCGTTCTCCAGAACGTTTAAATAATTACAACAGTTTATCATTTCTTCTGAACAAATTATGTAATCCACTATGGATTTCCCACTTGGGGATACAAAAGTAATTTTTGCAGGGGTATCACCGCTCATCCTACCATTTAGAATTATTAGTTGGTTATTATTAATAAAATCTAGAAGTATTTTTCCTCCTGTGTTTAACACTTTATCTTTAGATAATCTCTTATTGACTAAGTTTTCAAATGTCTGACAGAATATGGTATCTGTAACTTTACCAATACGTGCATTTAGATCACTTCCTATTATTTACAATTGAGTGAAGTTAAACCATCTATCCATAATTTTTTGCACTTCATTTAGAATTGGTTTCTTCTCTATAGAAGGTGGTATATATATTCCTATTACTCCCAAGTATGTATAATACCATCTCATTTTTATTTTATTATCTAATTTTATTATGACTGCAATAACATAATCTGTTGTATATTGTAGAAATATTTCACCTAATTTTTTCTTTATCAATAACAGAATTCCACATGATGCACGTCCAAACTTATTTTTGCGTTGAGCATTACTAATTATTATGTTATTGTCTTGTTCTAGATATTTTATTTCCATTTCACTAAATTTTATAATCCAGGTTTCTAAAAATTCAATAATTTCGTTTGATTCCAGAAATTTTCTCATCGAGGTTTTGAATAATTTTCCTCTTAATCGTTGAATATTCCAAAAAGTTATCGTCACATTATTTTTTTCTTTTTTTGAATTTTCTACCTTTTTCTCATTCAATTCATTATCTATAACTATCCAATTATCTTCACTCATTTTTCTGTATTTATTTTCCATATCTTTAGCCATTCTCCTTTTTTCCTGCATTGTTTTTAAATTTTGATTTATTTTAACTGATCTTGTAATATATTTGT